TTATTATGCATTATGAATTGTTAACATAATACATTATAAGTACTGATCATAACAAATTATAAGAGCTGAAAAGTTGTATTTGTCCGCTCTAAGTAAAGTGAAGCGTACTGTACTAAAGCCTCCTCCAGTGTTCAGAGTGAGGCTTCAACTTGAAGTATTTACTGAAGAAGTTACTGAAACACTAAAACATACACAGTAAAGCACATTACAGGCTTCAAATGTCAGATTTTAAACTAGTGATGACATTACAGTGTTTTACCCAATGTGGGAAAGTCAATGTACATCACTGTTAATGTACACCACCGTTAGCTTGGCACTAACTTAACACTGCAAATCCAATATTATACTGTGTGGAACATCTGAATATTCAGGACTGAAGCCCCAAAGATGCAGCCCTAACAGCACCAGTGGTGACACATAAAATATTGGAAATCTGTCTTTACTTTATGCTCTCCAAATTGGGACTGATTTATTTGGCACTGACAATATAACGTTATTAACACTACTTATAATGCATTATATTAACATAATGTATAAACTTAATGTATAAACAATGTACAAATAATGTATAATAAACATGGCTATAAAGTGTAATTCTGTGTAATTCATTTTTATAAATATTTCTAACCATGTTTATAATACCTTATGAATGCATTATAACATATTATAAATGTGTTTATAGATGCTTACAAACATAAAACATTCATAGAAAGTGTTACCTTAGGGACTTAATACTGTTTTAGTTTAAGATTAATATTTGCTACTGTTCCAAGACAACTTCAATGGCATCATTAAAAGAATGTGTCTCCTTGACATGTTGCTCACAGTGGTGGTGATAGGAACCAGACGACCACCTCTAAAAGCTCCCTCACAGAAAGTTATTACATAAAATGGTTATGAATTCACTGCCTGATGTCTGAAACACTGTTTTATGATAGTCTTGAGAAGATTTTGGCCCAAAATGCATTTTTTTAAATCAACAATGGGGCATATATGAAAGACAAAATAGTCCCCAAAGAAAACTTAATTTTTCAGATTTTTCACTATTTTATCATCAGCATACATATACAAATTTGTGTAGGTTTAGTGGTGGTTTTGGATAGTAAATAAAATGTCTATGTTTGTGTTGTAGTCATGGCGACCCCGGTTCCTATCACCACCACTGTAAAAATGTCTGTACCATTTCACAGAAAATGATTTTGTGTTTGGGGGATTGAATTATGCAGATATTGTGAAAAATGGTGGAATTCCCCTCCAAAACTGTGACTTGAAATGATGAGCAAACTGCTTTGCATGTAGCAGCTATTATATGCACCATTTTTTCATATTAATAATAAGATGAGTGAGTTTATAATTGGCTTTATTCGGTTTCAGGTCATTATGACTGACTATCCCAACTCCACTGATGATGAATTTGATGGATGCAAAGAAAAAAATGTATAATCTGGTTACTAAGCAGTTACTGAATGAAGAGTTAAACTCCAATGCGAATTTCAAGGCTGCTTGGAATGATGCCAAAAAAGATTTTTTTTAGGAAAAATATCTGAGTTAACAGAAAAAGACTTGACAAACATAGCCCTTCGAGCGTACACCGGAAGCCTTGTTTACAGTGAACTTAATGATAAAATGCGTGAGGGTAGAGGGACCTACATGACCAAGTTTGGGTTGATCTCTTTACACTTTCTGATGACAGATGGTATCCAAACTCGCAACACTCAGCACAAGTGCCAAACCACTTACCGTCGCACCAACACTACGATCGACATAACAGATACCTTAGTGCGATTTGGTAGTTTTGCTTCTTCTTCACACTTTTCTACACTGAAAAAATTTGGAAAAGAGACCTGTTTTATCATCAGTACATGCTACGGTGCAGATATAGCATATCAGAGCATTCAGAGGCTGAGGCTGAAGTGCTGATACCCCCTTATGAAGTGTTTAAAGTGAACCTGTCACAGATATTCCACCAGGATTTAGTGACTGTGAATGTGTTTACAAACTGAGCAGCGAACGTACGGAGAGCAACATGAAATGTGAATATGTTAATAAGGTTAACGTTGGCTGATTCGCTTTGACTGTCTGATGATTTATGTCATGAAACAATCATTAGATATGAAAATGTGAAAGATGAAGACCAGCACACAAAATGAAATGTAATTCTTGCTCCTTTCTGGACTCTCATGTGTAAAAATGAATAAAAAGACTGCAGCATGACTGATACCATCTTGTGTGATTATATTTGCCCTTTAGCATCGTTACCATTCAAAGTTTTTTTTTTTAAGAAAAATGTCATTATAGTTCAAAAAGCTTGCTGCTGCAGGAAACAGAATTGTTGGCAAATCCACTGAAACCAAGGGAGGTGTGGGGAGAAGGGGGAGAGGGGATGGCTGGGGTGGTGTGGGCATTTTATTTTCGTGCCACTTTTCAGAATATTGGGGTGATACCCCACCACTTTTTAAGAACGCTTACATCAAAAAGAAAATCTCTGCTCTCTCTAAACTGCATGCAGCCCTGACTTATAGACACAAAACTAAAAAAGAACTGAAGTGAGAGGAGCTGCAGCTCACTAATCCAGTAAAAACACTCTTAAGGCGCGTTCACAGCTACCTTGTTTGGTTCCAGCTTATCACACTTTTTCTTTAGTTAGGTCCATTTTGAAGTGCGAACGTTTGACTTGTGTTCAGGTCAAACATTGCAGGTCTTTGTCTGCTTTTTGGGGTTTTGGTGTTTCTTTTCTAAATGGTTCGGTTGGTTTCACACATTGACAGTATATATAAACTAGACCCAGTCATCCCTGTTTGTTTAAATACTTCTAGCTGAAAGCTTTAGGAATTGAAGATTCTGAGGAGAAATCAATGTTAATAAAATTGTGATCAGTCTGTGGTGTGGCATTTATATTTACACACATTTAATTATAATGAATACTCTGATGAGAAATAAGCCAGTAATCTACGCAAGATTGCTTTGACAGATCTTCAGTGCTCAATTAAGTGGATATTTCTCTCTCCATGAATCAACCACATTGTGTTTATTAGTTGATGTTATTTTTCTTGGTGGTTTATTGTTCAGTGCAAGATTATTGTCTGGTACAGTGTTAAAATCTCCTCCTAAAACTAAAAAGCACTGAGAGATCTGTTAAACCAACATAATATTTATTCACTCATTAAGACAAAGAGATAATTATTTAGTTGGGAGTGTTTTAACCATAAACATGAATTATTACAGCAATACCTGGCTGTTTGAAAGGACCAGAAGAATTAACCGTCCTTGTTTATGACCATAACTGTGTAAGACATCGACAGTGACACCTGCTGTGTGTTCTGTTCCATGAGCTGTTCATGAGTTGTTGCCCTATGGAAGCTCATCAGTAGCAAAATTAAAATTAAAAATTAAAGTGTAAAAAGGAAATGTGCTTATATGTTTCAATTTAAATGTAACACTTTTATATGCAATTTTAGGCTCAAACTTAAAATTCTAATTTAGTTGTACCATTTTAATTTGCCATTTAGTGCACTAGTATTGCTATTTCATTTACACAGTTTTGAATCCTTTATGAGTTGCTGTATTCAAATTAAAATGTATTATCTTATGCAATAATGGTGTCAAAATGATCAGTAAAATGTAATTGATCTCATATGTATTTGCACTCTCTAATAATATCTTTGAAATTACATGATCAAAGAGAACACCAGGCAAGAAAGAAGGCAAATCCTAATGTAAAAAGGAAACACCAACCGGTCCATTGACCTCCACCTGTCATAAATAAATACATACTACATAAATATAAAGAACAAAAAGCATGTAAAAACAATAGATTCATGAAAAAAAGTTTCAAAAATGTCTTTGCCCACTGTGAATATGAATTATATTGAATTATTATTATTTACTTATGGTTCTAGGTAGCATCAAAAATGGTTCTTCTGTTGTTGCAAGTTTGATTTCATAATAATAGCTGAACCCTTTTTGGTGCTATATAGAACCATATACAACACAACACATTCTCCATCAATCTGAAGAACAATTGTTGTTCCTCTTCTGCTTTACTGTGTTTCTTCTACTTTTTGAAGATAACAGGAAAGGCCTTAACCCTATGGTGAGAGTTTTCACTTATGTCAGCATATCTATGAAAAACATGCTTGTGTGTGGCTATAAATATATATATTCTGTACAAACATTTACACTTTCGAGAGTGAAGTGGAGAAGTGAAATGGAGAAGCTTCAATCAAAACTCATTTGAGCAGAAGACAAAACTGATAATTTGTGAATTTCTTTATTAGCAGAATATTCAACACACTTTGATCTGTTTAAAGGCATTAATAGAGATAGTAATAACCTAAAATCTGTTCACCAAATTTCAACTTCTGAAAATATTTACATCTTTTTGTATTATACAAAGTATTGCTCCAGTGATCTCTTTCCTGTGCATACTGAGCATTCTTTTCTTGTTTGACTTTCTTGTTTGGATTTTCCTATTTACAGTAAAAGTCCTTTTCTTTGCATTTGCGTGTGCCTGACCCAGCCTGATTCATCACATTAGCATTATTTAGTGATTCCTGTATCAAACATTTCTGCTCATACTCTATACACAGATTACACTGCTCCTGATACTACCAGGTTGATACCAGGTTGGGGTATGTTTCCGTTTGGGGGAGCTGTAGCTGCTTTTCACTTTCTGGCTTAATCTACGCAGAAATTTGCCAAGGAAACCAGTGCAGACCTACAGTTAGTTAAGGATGAATGAGATGAAAAAATAGAAAATTCTGGATGTCTTAGCACTGGAAAAGGGAGGTGTGTGTTGTGTACTCAACATGTCCTGCTGCATTTTTCTCCCTATATAAACATATATATTTACATATCTATATATATATATATATTTCTTTATGTTGCCCATATTTAGCAGCTCTAGCAGCTCTGGTGGCTTCCATGTGGCGACTCAGGCAGACGTCACTCAGGGGCTCAAATAAAGGGAGGGAGAGTGAGAGAGAGTGAGAGAGAGCAAGAGAGAGAGAGAGAAAGAGAAAGAGCAAGAGAGAGAGAGAGAGAGAGAGACAGAGAGAGAGAGAGAGAAATTGATTAACAGGACAGGTCTGTTTATGGAGAAAATTAATATTGTATAATAAATCAACACTGATTTAAGTAAGTACTTTTACTCATTTCTGTAATTAAATTCAATCATAACACTTTTAATATTTTTTTATTTTTCATATTAACGTGTTAAAAAAATGTTAAAAACTGACTCTCTTGCTCTCTTTCTCTCTCTTTCTCTCTCTCTCTCTCTCTCTCTCTCTCTCTCTCTCTCTCACACACACACACACACACAAATTCCACACACCTAGCAGAATTTTTAATTATTATTAAATATTATCAAACATTGAATATTTCTAATTTTCTATTCTAATGTGTAAAGATAGCCATATTTTTAACATCAGTGACTGAAAGCAAACATGTTTTTTTCAGCTTTTTCTCTTCAGAGAAAATGAAAAAAAGAAAAAAAAAACAAAACAAAAAAATCATAATGTGATGTCATGCAAATGCTTGGAGCACGTCAAGCTGTCAATGTCATATAAAAAGCCCAGAGAGCTCAGTGGAGCAGAAGCAGCTTCTACCAGATCAAAAGGTAAGACTGACCATTTCACATGTTTCTTATAGAAATACAGTCGTGTGCAAAAGTTTGGGCACCCCTGGTCAAATGACATGTTCTGTTGATTTTATTGGTGAAAATTAGTTCACACAGTATTTGGAAATTAAATGATTTGCTGAATAATAAAATGATGTAATCAGTATGAAATGTTCCTCTTAGACATCAAATCTCAGCTAAACTGAAGACGATATAAAAGAATCCAGATTCAGACTCTGTTCATGGGTGACTATTTATCAGTCATGTTGTCTTCAACTGAAATCCCTGTTGCCAGGTCCTGTGAGCTTTTATAGCTCTTTATTAGTATCTTAATTTCTATTTCAGCCAAAGTGAGTTCAAAATACATCACGGTTTGTCTCGTGGACTGTTACTTACAGTGAGACCACCTGTAAGCCCACCTGTATCTGTTCACTTTAGGACGATAATAAAAATGCTGCACTCAACTGCAATGATGCGTCTCTTCATCCTCCTCATCCTCGCTGTACACACAGCTCCAGCGGTAAGAAGTGGAATTTATAAATGTTGTCCAAATTATTTATTTTAATGCAAAGATGAACCTTTTTTTTAATTTCAGACTCCAGAGCAAAACAACAGAGAAAATCGCCAAGAAATGGTAGGGCTGCTGTCCACTGTCACAGATGTTCCTAAAGAATGTTGTAAACTGATATTTTTTAATTTGTAGTCTGAGACTACCATATTTTACTACCATAAAATTTTGAAACTATTACAAAATAAAAGATGCTTAAAGAGGAATTCCACCTCTTACATTTTTGCATAATTAAACTATTTAGATGTAAACCGAATCATTCAGAGTGGTTTGGTGTGAAACGCTCTGTTCTAGAGAAACTTACTGAGTCAGAATTGTTCACAGTGGTGGTGATAGGAACCAGACGTCCACCGTTAAAAGCTCCCTCACAGAAAGTTACTACATGAAATGGTTATGAATTCACTGCCTGATAACTAAAACATTATTTTATGATAGTTTTGACAAAATCTTGGCCTAAAATGCATTGTTTTTAAAAAGAATGGTAGAGCAACGGATGCAGGACAAAATAGTCCCCCAAAAAAATTTATTATTTTCAAATTTTCCACTATTTTTCCATCATCATCATTCCATATAAACTCAGAAGACTTGTGCAGGTTCACTGGTGGTTTTGGATAGTAAATAAAGTGTCTGTATTTGTGTTGTGGTCATGGTGACTCCTGGTTCCTATCACCACCACTGTAAAGACATCTGTGTCTCTACAATCAACCATTTCAAATAAAATGATTTTATTTTCATCTCAACGATAGAAATATGTAGATATTTTGAAGAAATGGTGAAATTCTGCTTTACAAATGTGTCTTGAGGTGACATGCTGACTGCTGGGCATGTAGCAGCTATTATATATTATATATTATATATATTATATCATTAGCATTCATTTTAATAATGAGATGAATGAGTTCATAATGGCTTTTGTTTGGTTTCAGATCACTATGAATTTATATCTCAACTCCATTGATGATGAATTTATGGGATGCAAACAACAAATGTATTGTTGGGTCACTAAGCAGTTACTGGATACAGAGTTGAGCCTCAATGAGAATTTCAGGGATGAATGGAATGCTGCCAAACAATACTTTCATTTAGAAAATACGAAAAACTCTCATTTAACAGTGGAGCAACTGAGAAGGATAGCCCTTCGAGCGTACACCGGAAACAAAATTTACAGTGAACTTAATAATAAAATGCGTGAGGGTAGAGGGACCTACATGACCGAGTTTGGGTTGATCTCTTTACACTTTCTGATAACAGATGGTATCCAAACTCGCAATGCTGAACAATGTCCTCAGTACAAGTGCCAAACCACTTACCGCCGCTCCAAAACTGAGATCGACATAACGGACACCTTAGTGCGATTTGGTAGTTTTGCTTCTTCTTCACTCAAGGCTACACTGAGACACTTTGGAAACAAGACCTGTTTTATCATCACTACATGCTACGGTGTAGATGTATCAGACATATCCATGGGAGGCTGAAGTGCTGATACCCCCTTATGAAGTGTTTATAAAAGAATCTGACACAAATCGTCCTGCAGAATTAAATGACTGTACACATGTTTACAAACTGAGCAGTGTAGGTAGGATTAGCATCATGAAATGTGAATATGTTAATGAGGTTAATACAGGCTGATTTGCTTTGACTGTCCGATGATTTATGTCATGAAACAATCATTAGATATGAAAATGTGAAAGATGAAGACCAGCACACAAAATGAACTGTAATTCTTGCTCCTTTCTGGACTGTCATGTGTAACTTCTAAAAATATGAATAAAAAGACTGCAGCGTGACTGATACCATCTTGTGTGATTATATTTGCCCTTTACCATCTAAAGTTTTTATTTTTTTAAGATAAATGTCATTATAGTTCAAAACGTTTGCTGTTGTAGGAAGCAGAATTGACAGGGCCAGGTGTGTGTGTGGGGTCGAGGAGCATTTGACCAATACCCCATCAATTTTTTGAGATACATCAAAAAGAAAATCTCTGCTCTCTCTAAACTAAACACCTCTGACTTATGGACACAAAACTTAAAAATAACTCAGCTGCAGAACCAATCACTGTCTCCATTTGAGCAGAGAGGTGGGACTTTTCTCACACAGTAAAACCATCGTGAGTTGGTGCTCAGTGAGAGGAGCTGCAGTTTACTAATCCAGTAAATATGGTCTTACTGCCATACACTAACTAACTAAAGGTAATGGAATATTTCTTAACTAAGGGCGCCTTCACACCTACATTGTTTGCTTCCGTCTTATCACACTTTTTCTTTAGTTTTGTTTGCTTTGAATTGTGAATGCTTGACCTGTGTTCAGGTCAAAAATTGCTGGCCTCAGTCCACTTCCAAAGCTGATTTCCCGTCTGGTTTGTTTTCAGCAGAGTTTGGGTTTTTTCTTTTCAAATGGATTCCTTGGTTTCAGCCATTGACAGTATATATAAACTGGACCTAGTCATCCCTGTTTTTATACATTTCAACACTTCTGAACTCCAGTTTTAGGACTTCTTATCTTTCTTTTTCCTTTTTTAAGGTGCATAACAATACGTAGCTTATGCTTATCACACACGTACAATGAACTGCACATAAAGATGATGAAAACAAACAAAAACAAAGACTGCTAGGGGTTGAAATGATTCACAATCATGTAAACATATTTAATTATTCTGATCACAAGCTTTGGTTTGGTTTTAAAAAAAAATGTGTGAAAAGAGAGAATTGTTTAACTTCTAGCCAAAAGCTTTTCATTTTTCTTGGTGGTTTTCTGTCAAGATTATTGTCCAGTACAGTGATAAAATTTCCTCCTAAAACTAAAAAAACACTGGGAGATCTATTATTAACCACATAATATTTATTCACCCATTAAGTCAAACAGATAATCATTTTAATGTTATAACCATAAACATTAATTATTACAACAATACTTGGTTGACTGAAAGGACCAGAAGAAAGAACCGTCCTTGTGGAAGATCATAACAGTGTCAGACAATGACATTACAGGAAAATATCCTGTAGAACAGCAACACCTGCTGTGTGTTCTGTTCCCTGAGCTTGTCATAAGTTGTTGTCTGATGGAAGTTCATCAGCAGCAAAATTAATAAAATTAAAATGTAATATGCAAAATGAATTTAAATGTAAATTTCATACTCTTATATGCAATTTTGGACTAAAACTGAAAATTCAAATTCAGATTTACTCTTTTAATTTGCTAATTGGTGCACTAGTACTGCTTTTTCATTTACATAGAGATTTAGATGCCTTATGAGTTGCTTTATTCAAATTTAAATGTATTTAATTATGCAATAATAAATTATTTAAATTAAAATGTATTAAATTACACAATAATAGTGTCAAAATAATCAGTAAAATGTTACTGATTTTATATGCATTTGCATTCTTTAATAATTTATTTGAAATTTCAAGATCAAAGAGAACACCAGGCTAGAAAGAGGGAAAAATTCTAATGTAAAAAGGGAAACATCAGCGAGTCACCTGACCTCCACCTGCCATAAACAAATACATACTATATAAAAATAAACAATAAAAAGCATGAAAAACAATAAATTCATGAAAAAGTCAATATTTTCTTTAAAAAAAACAAAAAACAAAAATGTCTTTGCCCAATTTAGGAATTTTTTTTGCTGTGGTTGTTTTTGCTTGTTTTAAGAAATAATAAACAGAAAATAAACAAAATTATCTGCCAATACACACTTTTAAAAAGATGATTCTTCAAGATGTCTTAAAGACTCTGGTTTTATAAGGAACTATGAACACTCATTTGCATGCTTATGTGGTTCTTTGTATTGTGAAATGGTTCTTCAGATTGATGAAGAATGTGTTGTAAATGGTTCTAGGTAGCATAAAAAATGGTTCTTCTGTTGTTGCTTGACATCGTAATAACAGCTGAACCCTTTTTGGTGCTATATAGAACCATATATAACACATTCTCCATCAATCTGAAGAACCATTGTTGTTCCTCTTCTGCTTTACTGTGTTTCTTCTACTTATTGAAGATAACAGGAAAAGCTTTAACCTTATGGTGAGAGTTTTCACTTATGTCAGCATATCTATGAAAAACATGCTTGTGTGTGGCTATAAATATAAATATTCTGTATAAACATTTACACTTTCGAGAGTGAAGTGAAAGCCAGAATCTCTCCTGGGCTTCTGATGGAGAAGCTTCAATGAAAACTCGTATGAGCAGAAGACAATACTGATCATTTTTTAATTACTTTATTAGCAGAACATCCACCACACTCATTACATTGAAAAACTAAAATATTTACAAGGATTATGTTTTGATCTATTTAAATGTATTAATAGAGATAGTATTAAGCTAAATATTTACTAAGCCATAGGGTAATTTCCATTGGGAGGTGTTTGTCCTAAATTCTATTCTATTCCCCTGTTTAATATTGGACTGTCCCTGGTTTTTGCTCTTTGGCTCATGTTTTCATATTACTGTGTAATACTGTGGTATTGATCCTGGCCTGTATCAGTAGTGTGAATTTGGATTTTCCTGTTTATAGTAAAAGTCCTTTACTTTGAATCTGCGTGCGTTTGACCCAGACTGATTCATCACAAAATACTTCACCTGAATCAAGGATGGCAGATGCAGAGGCTATCCAGAGGGTCATAGCCAACCTTGACCAGCTACTAAGTCAACACCAGCAACTGCTAGAAGAGTCGTCACAATCCCTGAAGAATCTAGCTCATCAGCAAGGTGAGCAGCAAGATCAGCTGTCATGGCTGGTTACAAGTATGAAGGAACTCACTACTCAGTTACAAAGCCAGGGTGGTAAACCCTTCAGAAGCTCCTCACAGTAGCCACTCTCACCATCAGCTTCAGAAGCAGCAGTTTTTCCAGTGAGTAAGCCTGACAAGTTTGACAGTACACCTGAAAAATGCTGAGGATTTTTGTTACAGTGCTCTTTTTTTTAGTAATTCCCCTATTAGTTCAGATCAGGCCAAGATAGCTTTTGTGGTCTCATGCCTCACTGAATAGGCTTATCTGGCTATCAAGCAGAGACTTCAGGTTTGCCGAAGGGTATAAAATATTGACTATGGCTCCTTATGGGTCCTGATTTTGAAAAAAAAATCATTAACGTCACATACCAGTTAGACTTCCCTGCTTAGTACCATGTTTCACATTCTTTCCATGCGTCCCTTCTCAAATCTCAAGTCATTTCAGGTATATGAAGCTACCTCCACCAACAGATGCTGGCAGACAGGGTGATATCTGACAGCTGGACTGTAGAAGGTGTGGAGGGACCCTTCAATGTCTCATGGACTGGGAGGAATATGGACCTGAGGAGCAGTGTTGGTTACCAGCCAGGCATATCCTTGACCCTGCACTTATAGATGACTTTCATTGGCAGTTTCTTGATCGGCTTGCTCCCCATCTTTGGAGTCATCCCAGGGGACATCCCTTGGATTTATGGTCCAGTTGTGTCAGTGGTTGCTCCGGTGGTTCTCCTGTCGAGGCCTCCAGTCGTGTGGGTGGTTGTTGTCATGGGCGTCCTCATTCCTCAGACAAATAGGACTCCTCCTGTATCCAGCATTTCTGCTCATGCAGTATGCACAGATTACGCTGCTCCTGATGCTACAGGTTGGGGTATATTTCCATTTGGGGGAGCTGTGGCTGCTTTTCAGAAAATCAGAAAAACTTTCTGGCCTAATATATGCAGAAATTTGCCATGGAAACCAGTGCAGACCTACAGTTAGTTAAAGATGAAAGAGATGAAAAAATAGAAAACTCTAGATGTCTTGACACAGCAAAGGGAGGTATGTGTCACATACGTAAAACTTTCGCTGCTGGATTTTTGTCCCTGACAGTGATTTTGACGCTATTGTTGTTGCTTTATATTGCCTTTATTATTACTCAGGTATTTTGCCTTATTGTTGATGAACATGGTGATTGGTGATTGGCGAATTCTCCAAAGAATGAGTAATTTTGAATGTGACAGCTTGCAGTCAGGGTCCTGAGTTGTTCCTCTTCTGCTTTACTGTGTTTTTTTGCCTTTTGTAGATAACAGGAAAAGCCATAAGCATATGGTGAGAGTTTTCACTTATGTAAGCATATATATATATATATATATATATAAACATGCATGTGTGTTACTAATATATATGAGATTTTATTGAAGCTTCTCGATCATGAGTCATTTCACCTCACTCTCGAAGGCGTGAATGTTCACATTTTTTAGGAGCCATTTAGACAGAAATCCACAAAATCCCAAAGGCTTTACAAACTTTATCTCACAGCTGCATATGACAGTATTAAGGTATGTTGAACTGTATAGAGCGTTGTTATGTAAATCTCTGGGTTGCATTCTCTCACCATAACCACAACTCACCATAATGATGGTCATTCTAATGTCCATATAACCCATGATTCTGTCCATCACTATTTTTTACTGCAATAAACTGACTACTTTGAATTTTATGGATGTTTTTTTTTTTATTGTGAGTCATGAGTCATTTTTGGAGGAAACCTTTAGATCGTCGTCCTGGTGGAAGAGCATCAGTTTTTAGCCTCCTGACAGAAACAGTTCCATTTTACTCTGGAAACTGATTTTCTGGATCTCAGCAGCGTTCATGACACCATGGATCCTACCAAGATCTCCAGGGCCTTTGGAAGCAACGCAGCCAGGAAACACAAATAAAATGAAAATGTATTCATCAAAGTAACATCTCCTGAGGTCCTTTCACATTGGCTGTTTTATTATTATGATTATTATTATGATTATTATTATTATTATTATTATGTATTCACACACACATACACACATTCCCATCTGGGTCGTGGGGGTGGAGGTTGGGGGTGCTGAAGCCTATCCCAGCGGTCATTAGGCAGAAGGCAGGAAACACCCTAGAGGAATACTTTAAATCATTTCTATAATATCTGTAATTGAACTTAATCATTATACATTGTTTTTCTTTTTTTTCAGGCAATCATGTTTAAAAAAAAACAAAACAAAAACAAACACGCACACATAGCAGAAACATTAAATATTATTAAATATTCAATATTTCTATTTTTCTACTCTAATGCATAAAGACAACATCAGTAAAAGATCAGTAACAAAAATGAAACATTTTGGCTCTATCAGAGAAAATGCAAAGAAAAAAGGAAAGAAGGAAAAAAAGTTATCACCATGTGATGTCATTTCATGCAAATTCCTGAAACACGTCAAGCTGTCAGTGTCTTATAAAGACCCAGACAGCTCTGTGGAGCAGAAGCAGCTTCTACCAGAGTAAAAGGTAAGACTGACCATTTCACATGTTTCTCATAGCTTTTTATTAGTATCACATGATTTTGTGATTCTTGTACTTTTAGGTGTACAAGTAACAGCCAAAGCAAGTGTTTAACATCTGAGTTCATATACACACTGTTTCTCTCATAGACTATTAAGTACAGTGAGCCCACCTGTAAGCCCACCTGTATGTGTTCACTTTACAACAATAATGAAGATGCTGAACTCAACTGCAATGATGCGTCTCTTCATCCTGCTCATCCTCGTGGTACACACGGCTTCAGTGGTAAGAAGTGGAAGAAGTGTTGTCCGAATTATTTATTTTACTGTAGACAAAGATTTACCTTTTTATTTTTCAGGCTCCAGAGAAAAACAACAGAACAAAGCGCCGACTCTCTCCTGGAAAAATGGTTGTCATGCTATTCCCTGTCACAGATATTCCTAGATAATGTTGTAGACTGACATTAAGGGCTCAGTGTACTTTTAATTTGTAGTTTGAGGCTGCAGTAAAAATTTTAAACTATCATGAAAGATGTCGCTTAAAGGGAAATTCCACCTTTTTCTGCATAATCAAACAGTTCAAATGAAATGGTTATGAATACACTGCCTGATGTCTGAGACAAGTTCGTGGTGGAGGAAGAAATTATTATTCAACCAGTGTTTTAAAACTGTACTGCATGTACTTAGTGACTGAGCTGAGACTGTGAGGGATGCAGTGCTAATGTAGATCTGGATTTCATCAGTATAACAGTGGAACTTAAGCCCATGATTTCAAATGATCTGACCTAGTAGATGTATAATATAAAAAAAGATGGGTCCAAGGACAGAACCTTGGGGCACTCCTTGAACAAGTGGAGCAGTGGATGACTCATGTGGACCTATAAACGGTTGCCTGCTAGTAATATAGGATCAGAACCAAGCCTGAAATGCCTATGGATGAAAGTCTGGAAATAAGTCTGCAATGATTCACAGCATCAAAGGCTGCAGTGAGATCAATGTGGATGAGGATCATTTACATATATCGGTCTTAAAGGCACAGTAACAAATACAGCCTGTTTAATTCTAAGAGATAAAGAGAGGTTGGAAAACGGTCGGATAAACAGTAATTACACAAACTGGTACATAAAACCTCAAAAATGTCAGAAGTGTACAGGGAAATAAAAAGAAAATACATGAAACATTTTAGAACCTGGGCTCTTTGAAAACAGGACAAAGAGGTTTATTAATCACTGCAGTCCACATACCGTCCTGAATACCCAGTGAATTAAAGTAATGTATTTTAACTCAGATGTTAATGGTGCCTTTCTCAGTTTTTCCCAAATTATTTGTTTTCCTGCAGATGAAGATTTTCTCTAAGGCTGCAGAGCGAACCAACAGAGAAGGCCATCAAGGCACTGGAAATGAGGTTGGGCTTTCATTCACAGTCCAAGACAACGTTGTTTTGAACACTGTACCACAGTTATTTACTCTTAAGATAACTTTAAATGAGTCTTTAAACATATGATCTCTTAAGGTGGCATGTAGAAATTATTATATTTATCAGCATTTTTCATGTTAGCACATTCACACTTAAACAGGTTTTATTTTGTTCCAGATCAACATGGACGAATATCCAAACTCCATTGATGATGAATTTAAGGGCTGCAAGGAGAAAATGCATGAGTTAATTAAACCTAAACTAGAAATTGAGTTGCAATCCAATGAGAACTTCTCAACCGCTTGGACTGAATCCAAAGTTGCTTTGAATTTAACACATAAATCAAACTCTGATTTAACAGCTGAGGAGTTGAGAGACGTAGCCCTTCTAACATACACCGGAAAATATATTCACGGTGATCTTAATAACAAAATGCGCAATGGTAAAGACAAATACCTGACCGAGTTTGGGTTGATCTCTTTACACTTTCTGATAACAGATGGTATACAAACTCGCAATGCTGAACAACACCCCCGGCGCACGTGCCAAACTGCTTACCGTCGCACTGAGGTTGCGTTCGACCTGACAGAAACCTTTGTGCGGTTTGGTAGTTTTGCTTCTTCTTCACTCAGTACCCTGCAAGAATTTGGAACCAAGACTTGTTTTATCATCACTACATGCTACGGTGCAGATATATCAGAAATATCAATGTTTGGATATGAGGCTGAAGTGCTGATACCCCCTTACGAGAGGTTTGTAAAGGATCCCGTCACAGATATTCCACCAGGATTCAGTGAATGTGAACGTGTATACAAACTGCGTAGTGTGGGTAAGAAGAGCAACATGAAGTGTGAATACATTAAAGTGAATGCTCAGGGCTGTTTTAGTGGCTGATAATTCATGCTATGAAGAAATGGCTAGAAATACATTTGTGAAAACCTGTACTGTCGCCTGCAGACTAGCTCACAAAATCAACTGTATAGTTCTTGTTCTGAGGCTTTCTTGACTGATTGTACCACCTAAATTAAAATAAATAAATAAAAAAAATCACTGAACCAAGACTGGCATTAGCTTGTGTGGCTCTATTGGGCAAAGACAGTTAATGACACTATCAGACTACTGCTGTTTTTCTGTTTTTTCACCTAATAAACCCTTTTTCCTCCACTGACACGCTCACCAGGCATCTTTAGCAATGTGCAAAAGCATATTGAGGTAAACAGAGGTGGGTAGAGGTGGGGGAAGTGTTGCAACTTCATTGAAATAATGAGCTACACAGCACCCCCTACCAGCCAGGGCTGAAATTTTACACTTTCTATGGTAAAAATGAACACAATTGAATACAATAAGACCACAAAGAGAGGCTGACCCCCATGAACATTAATTTCTTTTTTTCTTATTTCCATCCCCAGCTTTCTCATTTTCTGCTTTCTGGAGCTTTTAAACAAGCAATGCTTGTTCTTTTGTGGTTAAATACATGACTATTACTCATCTGTTGACTGTTTTCAGTGAGCTCTGGGTGAGGAGGTCTCTGTGCTTCTGGTTCTTCTCCTGTACACAGAAAATAAAGCATTTCACATACTCAGAAAATAATAAACAGATAAAACCTGAATTATTTATTTGGCCCACGTTTTGTCAAATGCATTAGTTGCTCTGTAGTTCTGTGCAGATTAGAGAATTTTTAATGGCATATATATTTTTTTTTTATATATATATTTTTAATAGCATATATTTATTAATATTTTATGTATTAAGCCCACTGTCAGACACACAGATTACCAACACACATTTCTTTCTTAACCACAAGATTAAGAGAGAACACAAGGTCTTATGGGTCCAGCTAAAAAAAAAAAAATCCTAGAACCACCATTGTCATCAGTATGCATGTCCATTCTTATTGACCTTTCTGTGAGGGAGCTTTTAGAGGGGGACGTTTGGTTCCTATCACCATCACTGTGAACAAATCTGACTCAGTAAGTTTCTAGAACAGAGGATTTCACACCAAACCACTCTGAATGACTCTGTTTACGTCTAAACTGTTTAATTATGCTGAAATGTAAAAGGTGGAATTCCCCTTTAAGCAACATCTTTCATGTTTTCTTTTGATAGTTTCAAAATGTTACTGTAGTAACTGTAGACTCAAACTACAAATTAAAAGCACACTGAGCCGTTAATGTCAGTTTACAACATTCTCTAGGAATGTCTGTTACAGTGAATATCAGCCCTGCCGTTTATCCAGGAGGTACCTTTGTGCTTTGCTCTGCTGTTTTTCTCTGGAGCCTGAAATAAAAAGGTAAATCTTTTGTCTGTGTTAAAATAAATAATTTGGATGCTCATAAACTCCACTTCTTACTTCTGGAGCCGTGTGTACAGCGAGGATGAGGAAGATGAGACACATCAGTGTAGTTGAGTGCAGCATCTTCATTATTGTCCTAAAGTGAACAGATACAGGTGGGCTTACAGGTGGGTCCACTGTCATAAACAGTCCATGAGACAAACAGTGTGTATATGAACTCAGATGTTAAGCATTTACTTTGGCTGTTATTTGTACATGTAAAAAGACAAGAATCACAAAATCATAAGAAACTAATAAAGAGCTATAAAAGCTCACAGCACTTGGCGACACCGATTTCAGTTAAAGACAACATGACTGATAAATAGTGACCCATGAACAGCGTCTGAATCTGGATTCTCTTATATCATCTTCGATACAAGATTTATATTCTCTTATATCGTCTTTGACCAGGGGTGCCCAAACTTTTAGACATGCCTGTATTTCTACAAGAAATATGTGAAATGGTCAGTCTTACCTTTTGATCTGGTAGAAGCTGCTTCTGGGCCTTTTATAAGACACTGACAGCTTGACGTGTTTCAGGAGTTAGATAAATTAAATGTTTAGTAATATTTAATAATATCTAATATTTCTGCTAGGGATGTGTGTGTGTGTGTGTGTGTGTGTGTGTGTGTGTGTGAGAGAGAGAGAGAGAGAGAGAGAGAGAGAGAGAGAGAGAGAGTGTGTGTGAAAGAGTGTGTGGATATGGGTGTGTGTCTGTGTGTGTGAGAGAGAGAGTGTGTCTAAACATGATGACCATGAACATGAAAAGAAAGAAGAAAAAAGTTATAATTGAGTTTAATTATAGATTTTATAGAAAAAAGTAAAAATATTTTCCTCTAACTCAGTATTGATCTATTATCCTGTACTCGTCTGAAGACAAATGTCAAACTTAGATCCCAGCACAGGTCAGCACATCATTAGCTTGTTTGATAAGTTATTTATGGGGAAAAATAAATTATCTTTTAATCATTATTACTGTCCAAGCTAAGATAAATATAGGGTCAGTTTCCAGGACTAAATTCAATGACAGTGTTATTTCTCCATTAGAAATGCCTTCAGCATAGGATTAGTCATAATCTAGATCTGGGAAAACTGGCCTTCAGATATAGAAATTGCATCCATAACCATCTAATCCCTATAATTGTGTACATATGCATCCCCTTAATTTCTATTGCTTATTAATTACTAAAGCTTACGATTCAGTGACTATATGGAAAGCAATATAAACATGCTGAATTATTTTTAAGTTATAGTGTAGAACATTGGAAGCCTGGACCTGCCAACCGCTCCTGACCATTTAAGGGGATTCATTCTGCATTATTTATTGTTTAATTGAATTACTTGATTGAATTGCTTATTACTTAGTGAATCTTACATAGTGCTGCCCAAAGTGGGATTGATCCATTGTTGACTTTTGGCTCCTCTTGACCCTGAGTTCTATAAAGCTGGCCTACAAAGACATCTGGTGAACTATACAAATACATTTTCATTTTATTTGTGTTTCCAGGCTGCATTTCTTCCAAAGGTCCTGGAAATCTTGGTAGGATCCATGATGTCATGAACGCTGCTGAGATCTAGAACATCAGTTTCCAGAGTAAAATGTAGCTGTTTCTGCCAGGAGGCTAAAACTGATTCTTGATCTTGTGTTGGTTTAAACTCCATTATATTGTCAATATGTAGCCACTATGTTCTGACAGGCTGACTCTGTCCTGACTGGTTTTGTGATCAACAATTAAGGCCTTCAACAAGAACAGTATGCTCTCATACATTAGATCAAAAAAGATCAGGAGCCTAGATAAGCTAATGTCTCGATAAAATTCTCCAAAGAAGGAGTATTTTTGAAAGCCACAGTTTGCAGTCAGGGTCCTGAATTGTGCCTCTTCTGATTTACTGTGTTTTTTCTGCTTTGCAAAGAAAACAAGAAAGGCCTTATGGTGAGAGTTTTCACTTACGTCAGTGCATCTATGAAAAACATGCTATATATACAGTGTCATGTAAACGTCTGGGCACCCCTGGTTAAACTGTGAATAGTGAAGTTAGAAGATGTTTCTTTTTTTTTTCCAGAAGACATAAAGTTAAAAATGGAACATTCTGTTCAACATTGTAAGCAACATTAGTGTATTATTTTGTACAATTTTAGAGCGAAAAAAAGAAAGGCGCGTCATGCATAAGTTTGGGCACCCCAAGAGATTTGAGCTCTCAGGTAACATTTACCAAGGTCTCAGACATTAATTGGCTTGTTAGGGCCATGGCTTGCTCACAATCATCGTTAGGAAAGACCAGGTGAATCCTCAACCCCCCACAACAATCCAAAAATTAAATGATGCCCACAAAGCAGGAGAAGGCTAAGTAGATAGCAGAGGGTTTTCAGGCAGCCATTTCCTCAGTTTATCAAGTAATTAAGAAACGGCAGTTAACAGGAATGATGGAGATCAAGTTGATGTCTCGAAGACCAAGAAAACTCCCTGAGATAACTGCTCATTGCTAATGAAGCACATCGAAAATCCCTGTTTCACTGCAAAAGACCATCAGGAAGGTTTAGCAGACTCTGGAGTGGTGGAGCACTGTTTTACTGTGCAGTGACACCTGCACAAATGTGACCTTCACAGAAGAGTCATCAGAAGAAAAGCTTTCATGTGTCCTCAACACAAAATTCAGTGTCAGATGTTTGCAAAGGAACACCTAAACGAGGCTGTTGCATTCTGGAAGTCCTGTCGAAGTTAAAATAGAATTTTTTGGCTGCAGTAAGCAAAAGTATAATTGGAGAAAAAAGGGTGCAGAATTTATGAAAAGAACACTTCTCCAACTGTTAAGCACGGGGGTGGATTGATCTTGCTTTGGGCTTGTGTTGTAGCCAGTGTCACAGGGACCATTTCATGGGTAGAGGGAAGATATGAATCAATTAAATACCAGCAAATTCTGGAAGCAAATATCACTCCATCTGTAAAAAAGCTGAAGATGAAAAGAGGATTGCTTCTACAACAGGATAATGATCTAAACACGCCTTAAAATCCACAATGGACTTCCTTAAGATGTGCAAGCAAAAGGTTTTGCCATGGCTCTCACAGTTCCCCAACCTAAACATCATAGAAAATCTGTTGATAGACCTTAAAAGAGCAGTGCATGCAAGATGGCCCAAGAATCTCATAGAACTAGAAGCCCTTCACAGGGAAGAATGGGCAAAAATCCCCCAATCATGAACAGAAATATTCTTAGCTGCCTACAAAAGCATTCACAAGCTGTAATACTTGCTACAGGGGGTGTTACTAAGCACTGACCACGCACGGTGCTCATCTGGAGTTTTGAGGTTTGAAACCTCGTTTTGAGGTCTGGTGCCTCAATAGTATCAGGGACACTAGACAGGTGAGTCAGTATAGGTCCTTTCACATGTGCTTTCTTCTTTGCTCCAATATATATTGTCCTTTTGTTGTGTCAGCTGTATTATCTTACAGTTATGTGTTCTTTGATGTTTTATCTGTATTGTTCCTGCTGAGGTGAGAACATCTTCACCCTCCCCTGACCCCAGAGCTCCTTCGCCTTCTTCCCCAACCTTTTGATTCTTCCCACCTCACCTGCTTCCCTTTCCCCTTTGCTTCCTCACCTGACCAACAGTATCTCTACTTAAACCAGGTCAGACTATGTATTCATGGGACTGGTGACGGACTGATGACCAAGCTGTGCCCGTGCATGATTCTCTGCAAATTTCTAACAATACCACCAGTCTTTTCTGTGATGCTGGAGTGCATCTGGTAGAAAGGTGAGGTATTAGGATCAAAAGTCTTTCATTTCAGAGAGTGGACTCTCCTGGAAGTCTAGTGTATGTAAGGAAAAGTAAGATATGGACTGTTTGTGTGCATGTCTATCTTCCAATTGAAAAAAAAAGAAATCAAACTGTGGAATTGTTTTTCACAGGAGGAAAGAGAGAGAGAAAGTAACTGAGTGTGCATAATTATAAAAGTTGCTAAAATGGGAAATGGAAACTCAGAAAAGGGAAGAAGGGATTCTGGTCCCCCACATAATAAAGACATAAAAAAGCAGATGAGAAACAAATGAAATTATGAAATAAAGCTGAACAAGAATGTGAAAAGATATGATCCCACTGGACAGCAGTCTACCGTCCAACCATCCATATCTATCGGCACTGGAGATTCCTGAGCTGAAAGCCATGATCAAGAATATTCAAGACCCAAAGACAAACACTGAAGGCTGCATCAATGACATGAATGCCCTAGATGACTTATAGACTTTAACCAATGTGGAATGGACTCCTGACAACAGAAAGGCGGACGGCTTTGTGGATCGCTGGATGGCTTTGTGGATCACCGGTTCCACTTAGTCGAAGCACACTGTGATATGGCTAACAAAGCCACAAAAGGACAACATGGTTCACATGTGCTTTAGCATTGCTAGAATGGCTAAACAGACACGCATAGGCTAAATAAATCTTACGCTGGACTTGTCATGCACGCCAAGCATGTTGAAAAGTGTAGCAGGGAGCAACACTTCAGAAGGCACAGCTGATATACTATTAAAACTGTGACTCCAACATGGAGTGGACAGAACGCTGGATGTGGACTGACCAGGGAATGAGAATGAGGCAGAGATCGAGGTGCAGGTAGGCCCAGTGATGGGACTTTTAATTGTGTTTTAACTGTGTTTTGATTGTGGCAAACATGGTCATAGGGCCAGAGAATGCCCTAATAATCAGCAACAGCACCCTAACTTTAGTATTTTCAATCATATGCCTAAATAGCATGAGGAAGGAGAAAAGACCACTTACTGAAAGTGACCAACATCTCTACTGTTGAACCACGATTTATTTTGCCTGTTAATGGTAAAGAAATCCTGTTCATAGTTGACACAGCTGCCACACAATCAGTTCTTAGAAAGGGAGCTGCTCTGAATATCTCCTGACTCCTTTGAGCCTGTTTCCTTCTTTAACACTCTCTTGCTTCCTCTTCTGCCACAAAAAATTGATCTGAAACTCTGGCATATACATTATTAGTGGAACTGTGCCACAGGGTCCTTGCTTGATTCCAGTGGGTGTTTTCAACCATTGCGACACAATATTGTGTCTCATGCCTAACATGTCTACAAATTAATCTAGGGAAAGGCATTAAAACAGTACAGCGCAAACATCAAACACTCATTTTTAATTTTTGAACATTTAATGATTGACTTTATTGAAGTAACCCTGGCCCAAGGTTTATCATACTGTATGGTGATAATTTGCATGACCTCTAATTATCCTGACAGTTTTTCCTTGCAGGAAACAAGATGCAGTGGGTGTGGAAAGATGCCTCCTGATGGATGTTCTCCCGAGATGGGAGGGTGCCGAGGAAAATTTCTTTGTATAATGGAACCCAAATTTCTTCAAATAACAGTGCCCATTTTGTGAAGAGTTATTTCACATCTTTCAGAATCGCTCAAATTCGACCTGAAAATACATTGTCCTTGTTGTTCCCGATCTGGTGGTGCAGTAAAGTGACTGAATCAAACAATCAGACAAAGATGACCAAAGTTTCCCTTGATACAGGCCATAATTGGGTAAAGGCAATTTCTGTAGTACTGATGCACACACAAGGATGGGCTAACTGACAGACAGTCATCTTGCCATATGAAGTGGTCACAGGGTTTGTAGCAGCTAGATCAAAACAACAAAAGTAAAAGGGGATTTGTAACCTTAACTGTAATAAAGGAGATATTCTGATAAAGCATGTTTTGCTCCTTAAGATTACTCAAAACAGTGCACAAGCAAGACGGTCTTACATGTATACTCAAATGAAAAGCTGAGACATAAATGAATAATTAAAAATGAGAAACCGCCCCTTATTTCAGGGTCATTTACAGGGTTTCCTATGAGAACTTTATCTTACAGGTTCCAGTCTGCCGAAGGATCCCTTCAACAAATTGATGACTCCATGATTAAGTATGTGTCTGTGCAAAACTGTTTGGTCTACATGTTCACAGGTTCAAGCTGCTCTTCACAACCCTGCTGAGGGACACCTTCACTGCCTAGAAGGGGACAGCTGGGTGGTAGTGAGGGTTCTGAGGAGAAAGGCCTGTAACTGACCTGGAAAGCACTATCAACCACTCCAACTGCAGTCCGAGTAGCTGAAAGGGAGACGTGAATCCACTGATCACACTGTTGTAAGGTCATCAAACCAGATCAAGGTCTGCCCCTAACCAAGGCAGGGGCAGAGGAACTCCCGGTGGGAAATCAACTTGGGTCAGAAGTGTAAGGACGCCTCAACTGGCAGGAAGGTGAAGTTGTCGAGTTGAGCTAAGTGAACACTTCTCTGAGGGTGCAACAGCCATATTATAAGCTCTGGTAATAGTTGTTTTGTTTGTGATGCTTTACATCAGCTGCCATGCTTCTATCTGGCTTGGTCGGTTCAGAGGCTGATCTCCTTCAAATCACTTCCCAGGATGCAACAGTGAATCACATGACTAACACGTCAGAGACATCGGCCAATCATGAGCCATTACAGAGATCTAGCTCACCTTGTATTGACAATTTAAATACGGTAGGCAGACCTACAGTTAGTTAAAGATGACCAACAGGGGAAAATAGAAAATTCTGTATGTCTTAGCACTGGAAAAGGGAGGTGTGTGTCATGTGCTCAACACGTCCTGCTGCATTTTTATCCCTAAAAGTGATTTTAACTCTACTGGTGTTTAATATTTTTTCTTTCTCTATACTGCCTTTATTACTCAGGTGTTCTGCCTTATTGTTGAGGAATGTGGTGATTTAAACTCCATTATATTGTCAGCATGTAACCATTATGTTCTGACAGGCTGACTCTGTCCTGACTGGTTTGATCAACAATTAACAATTAAGGCTTTGATCAAGAACGGTACGCTCTGAAACATTAGATCAGAAAAGGCCAGGAGCTTATATGAGCCGATGTCTTGATAGATTCCAGAACAGTTAGTATTTTTGAAAGCCTCAGTTTGCAGTCAGCGTCCTGAGTTGTTCCTCTTCTGCTTTACTGTGTTTTTCTGCTTTGTGAAGATAACAGGAAAGGCCTTAACCTTATGGCGAGAGTTTTCACATATGTCAGCATATCTGTGAAAAACATGCTTGTGTCCGAATATATATATATATACTATATATATATATATATATATATATATCGCTGTTGCCAAAGAAAACCTTGTATCTCCATTTTCATTTTTTCTTCCGTTTTTCAGTTTTTGACATAATTTAAAAAAATACCTGTCACCCTTTACATTACATGTAAATTTCATGATGAATGGACTAAAAGAAATGACCTAAAATGACTTGGAAATTACATTTACACAGGAATCCACAAAATCCCAAAGGCTTCACAAACTTTGTCTCACAACTGCATATGACAGTGTTATAGTGTGTAGAACTGTAGTGTGTTATTACGTAAATCTCTGGGTTCATCAGAATCTCGTGTTGGAGGTGATAATCATAACTCAACATTACTATGATTGAAATCTTTCATATCTAACATTAACATAACCCATGTTTTTTTTCCCATCAGTAGTTTTTACTGCCAAGCAATCACATAAAATTGCCAATGTGCTGACCTCAGCTGGAATCTAAGTTTGACTTTTGTGTAGAAAGAGGGAAAAAAAGACAACAAAACTTTTTTCTCTTTTTCTTCCTTGATTTTTTCACCAAAAATGCACTACAACTATCTTTCTAGTTTGACCTGTGTCTTCAGATTAATACAGTACAATAGATCAACACTGATTTAGAGGAAACTTTTTTCTTTTTTTATTTTCAAGTCATCATTCTTAAACAAAAACCTTTTTAAACTGACAAACAGTTTTGCTCTGTGAGATAAAATGCAAAAAAGGAAACACAGAGAACGATCAACATGTGAAGTCATTTCCTGCAAATTCCTGAAACACGTCAAGCTGTCAGTGTCTTATAAAGACCCAGAGAGCTCAGTGGAGCAGAAGCAGCTTCTACCAGAGTAAAAGGTAAGACTGACCATTTCACAGCTCTTTATTATAATCTTATGATTTTGTGGAGCCAAAGCAGATGAGAATATAGAGTTTTAAAACATTTTAGTTTGCCATGCAAGTTAAATTTCGTGTAAGCGAATGCCAACAATGGATAATAAGCCTCTTTTTTTCAGACTGGCTGGACTGTGGACTGCACAGAATCGTCACTGGCTGGACATTCATTTCAGTTTAAGGCAAATAACAGGTGATAGAACTGTCTGTTTAGCGGCTACTTCAGCTTCTTTCGTCTTCTTTTAAGTTGAAGCAGGAAAAAACGCATACATGTTTAGGGACAAGGCATTGTTAACAAAACCGGGAAATGCTTTAAGCTTTAGCTCAGGTATCACCGCTTTTCTCACATTTCTGGCAGGAAACTTTTCCACAAAAGTAGAACAATTTCTTGTAAAATGCTTCTCAGTGTTTGATTGTTTACGAGGCTGAAGCCGCTTCTCATTCGCCAGCTTCTTGTTTGAATTTTCCTGTTCCATGTTAAATGCCTTTGGGAAAATTTGAATGAGAAGCTGAGTTAAGCTTCACAACTTTTTGACAGTTTCTCGATGCAGATTAAACGTATCAGGAAACCAGATGTAGTGATTATAAATGCAAATAAGTCCATTCGTCTCCAAATCATCAATGTTCTTCTTAAATCTTTCTCTTTGCCTTTTTGTTAGATACTAGCTGGATAAGATTGTTATCTGTGTTGCTATGGTGACCAGCAGTCTGTGTGCTGAAGGGTGAATTTGCATTTATATATTAACTCCAGTTTTCAGGACCATCTATTGTTATTGTTAGAACAATCAGCAGAGCTTTATTTTACTGCAAAGGAGGATTATTTTATTTTTACCTACAAAATCTAATTCTGCTGTGGAGCCACAACAGTGCAGTAAAAGAGCCAAATGCAGCTTCAGAGCCATGTGTTGCTGACCCCACAAAGACCATTTGACTGCATTTGAGTAAAATTATAAGGCAAATTTAAAAATCATACTCAAACTCTCTTTATTACAGTAACCCCACCTGTAATCCCACCTGTTTCTTTTCACTTTAGGTCAACAATGAAGATGCTGCTAGCAGCTGCAATGATTCACCTCAACCTCTTCCTCATCCTCATCCTCACTGTACACACGGCTCTGGCAGTAAGAAGTGGAATTGTGAGCAGCTTTATTATCTTTGTTCAAATTATTTGTTTTGGTGCAGACAAAGTATCACAAGTTATTTTTTCCACATACGCCCAAGAGCACAACAGGGCACGGCACCAAGCACCACCTGGAAGGGCTGTGATCCACGATATATGTGTAGTATGTAGCAAACTGACATTATCAGTTCATTGTAGTTTTATTTTAAAGCATACAGTTACTACAACTAATCACAGCTAAAAGACAACCTGAAAGGTGTATTTAAAAATGAGATCTCTGCTACACATGTAGTACTTATTACATTTATCATTATTATTAATTTATAATGGGTTTTTCATTATGTTTCAGATCGAAATGGACGAATATCCAAACTCCATTGATGATGAATTTGAAAAATGCCACGAACAAATGTATAAGAAGATCACTGATAAAAATCCACAGCAGAATTTACTGGAGATTGAATTGAGTCGCAATGCAAACTTCAGTGCAGCTTGGAATAATGCCAAACATGAACTTAATTTAACAAACAATGACAACTATAAATTATCAAACGATAAGTTGAGAGAAATAGCCCTTCGTGCTTACACCAGAAACGAAATTTATCGGCAACTTAACTGTAAAATGCGTACTGGTAAAGAAACCTACAAGACTGATTTTGGGCTGATTTCTTTACACTTTCTGATAACAGATGGCATACAAAACCTTCCCAAAACATGTACAATCACTTACCGTACCATGGATGTCCCAGTTATCAGAACAAGCCGCTTTGTGCGATTTGGTAGTTTTGGTTCTTCTTCACACAATCCCACATTACATTTTGGACGCGAGACTTGTTTTATCATCAAAACATGCCACGGTGCAGATATATCAAACGTATCAGAGATTCCAGCTGAGGCTGAAGTGCTGATACCCCCATATGAAAAGTTTAAATCAGAACGTGTATTAAATATTCAAAAGGAATTTAGAAATCGATATTTTCCACCGATATTTTGTAGATGTAAATATGTTTACAAGTTGGAGAGTGCAGGTACGATGAGCAACATGAAATGTGAACTGGTTGGTAAGACAGAAAGAAAAAGGTTTTCTTTTTTTAAAAAACTAAAAAAGTTGTTTGGTCGAACAACTTAAGCACTGCTTGCCTGATGATTTATGTTATGAAACAATCACTGGGTAGAAATATGTGAGCAATGTATGCACAAAGCTCTGCAGACCACTTAACATACAATAATACAATTGTATCATTCTTGTTGTGAGCCCTTCTTGACTGACTGAAGCTCTGAAAAATAAAGAATTGCAGCAAATCTGACCCCTCATGCGTGTTTTTGACCATTAATGACAGCAGCAAAAACCAAAAGTACAGAACTGCAGTGGAATGTCTTAGTATATTTTGGGTAATAGTATTTGAAAAGACCCAGAAAACTACAAATGCATCAAAATTTCAAAATTACCTGAAAATCATAGGTGGAGCGTTGGGGAGAGCAGGAGATTCAATCCCTATTGGCCGATTTTGTGCTTCAGAATACCAAACCTGTGTTCTTCTGACTGTATTATTCTAAATTACACTAACTTGATTATTCTAGTCTTAATAACTTATAAATAAATACGAATAATAAATTATTATTAGGCTGTATCGTTTTTGTTTGTTTGTTTGTGTTTTACAGGCAAAAACACACTTACTGTCCAGAGAAATCATTTTAAACAGATACAAGTGTGACACAAAACTCAAAGTCCACCTATGCTGGAAATGAGTGAAAGGGACCAGCTACCATCAATCTTTGGATTCAGTGCTGTGAAAAAATATTTGCCCCCTTCGTGATTCCTTCTGTCTTTGCATATATACTGAGCTTATGTCAGTTCTTAAAACAAAATTTAGATGACCTGAATAAACACAAAATACAGTTTTACAGTGAAACTTGGTGGTGGTAGTGTGATGCTGGGGGATGCGTTGCTGATTTAGGGCCTGGGTGATTTGCCATAATTGACAGAATCAATTCTGCTCTATGACAGAAAATCCTGCAGGAGAATGTCCAGTCATCAGTCTGTGATCTGAAGCCCAAAAGTCCTGACTTGAACCCTATTGAGATGCTGTGGCAGGACCTTCAATGGGCAGTTCATGCCCAAAAGCCCTCCAATGGGTCTGAATTAAAGCAATTCTGCAAAGAAGAGTGGGCCAAAGTTCCAGCACAGTGATGTAAAAGCCTGATATCCAGTTATAAGAAGCATTTGGTCGCAGTTCCTGCTGCTAAAGGTGGCACAACCAGTTATTAAATTTAAGGGGCAATTACTTTTCACACAGGTGACAGTGGTACTGCAAAATGTTTTTTTCTTCAATAAATTTTGTGAACATAAAAAAATTGAGTTTTGTGTTTCGTCATGCATCCTTGTCTTGTATTATGTTTTGTATGAGGATCTAAAACCATTTATTGTGACAAATCATGAGGGAGCAAATACTTTTTCATGGCTCAGTTGTCACTATCCAGTTTAGACAAGTCCACATTAGCATGAGTCTTGGGATTACTTGCCTTTTAAACCAGACCAACATGAAATGTGAACAAAAGGTCTCTGTTTCCCCAGTATTAGTCTGAATATCTGTCCACGTTGGTTGATTACCCTGTTATTCAGACTGTGTCATCTAGCTGGGTTCTTTACATCTCTACAGCATTACTAAGACATTGCTACTCAGTACTTAAGCAGGTTTCGAGCTGCTGTTTGTTTGTCCAGTCACTTATTTCACCACATTAATGATACTTTTACTGGAGGATGAGTTTAAGAATCTCTACACTCCTCTGATTTGGGCTCATCCTGAATAAAACTGCACTGGTGGTAAAACAGATGGCATAAGTAACACTTAGTGCGTTTACATGCATTTAATAATCCGATGACTGCAGAAAATCAGATTTTGTCAGTAATCCGATCAATGCGTTTACATGCACTTGAGTAATCAGACGATAGGGAAACTCCGGGTCAAAATGAGTCAGACAGTAATCGGATTTCTGCTTTGCAACCAGCCAATAAACTCACAGAGAAAGACGTGAACGTAAGCATAACGTAAAACTCAAACTAAAATATGAACATATACATCATCTACAAGAGGAAGAATATTTAAGTCCTTCCTTTCGTCAAGCATGTATTTGGTTTCAGCATTGCTCCAAAAGTGTTTGTTGCGTCTCGCGGCAATGCTACTCGCTTATTTCCGGTACTGCCGTCATGCGCAGACTGAGAAATCTGAAAGAAAGCAGAGTAAGAGTTTACATGCACTGAGAAACCTTCATTACTGAGCTAAAATCCGGCTCTCTTTATCAGATTTCTTAATCAGATTTCTAGACCTTTCTCCGATTTTTTAAATCTCAGTATGCTGTTCACATGACCATTTGAATAATCTGCAGAAATCGGATTATGATTCTTGATTTTTGAGTCTTTCATTTAAGTCATATATGAATGAACACAAAATGAACACACCAATATGTGAGTTTGGTCCTCATTTGATGAGCTCCGTCTCTTTGAGGCCCTCAATAATTGCATTATCACTGTTTTACATGAAAGGAATTTTGCATAGAATGACTCCCCCCATTGATCTCTTACAGAGTGAGAATGAAAGAAAGGAAGATTGTACAATATTAAAAATGGTCCCAGTGTCTTCAGTATCTTCTTTCTTCTTAAACTGCACAATCAAAGCTCTGAAAGTATTATTCCTTTAAAGTTCACCAAACTTTTATGTCTCATAATTCAGTGGTTGAGATGTAAACACATTCTGAGTGGTTTGGTGTGAAATGGTTCAGATTTCGAATAGAAATGAATTTCTTGGGGGCCGGCACCACCAAACTCCAACCTACCACCCCCTTCCCCTCTACCACCACCACCGAACTCCATCCTACCACCCCCTTCCTCTCTAACACCACCACCAAACTCCATCCGATCACCACCAAAACCGTCACATCCGGGGTTATTTTCATGAATCTGGGCTTTGTCCAGGTTATTTGTTTTCACATGAAAGAAAAGAACATTTTTTTTCTTTTTTCAGAATCCAGAGCAGAACAGCAGAGCAAATCGGCAAGTACCTTATGAAAATGAGGTTAGACTCTCATTCACTGCCGCAGATTGAGACAATGTTACAAACTGACATTAAGCTCAACATAGACTTTTATCTGAAGATCTACCATGACTAAATGTTGCACTACTGAAGAAAGTATAAGAGATGTATATAGAATATAGTCTATGGATGTCTCAAGGCATCTAAAGGGGAAATTCCACTGATTGATCACATTTTCAATGTGTCAGATGTAAACAGAGTCATTCAGAGTGGTTTGGTGTGAAATGGTTTTGGTGACCAGGTGCGAAGAGCCTAAAATCATCCAGTTAAAGTGCTTTGTAGAAATAAAAGTTGAGTCAAAAAGTCATGTTTTTAAATATGCAGTATTGAGTTCCTTACAGAACTGCAGTGGATCTTCTTAGTACATCTTAGTACATCTATCAGTACAGGACGGGAGGTTTGTACAGCTCTGTTTTTCTCTTTTTGGATCATTTTGGTCTAAAATGAAATGCTAGAGCTCCAAAGTGACAGGAGTGATACACAGTAAAGCAGAACTGGAGCTGAAACAGCACAGCAGAATGACATTTAACTAAAGAAAGAAAAATAACAATATAATGTACATAATATAATGATGTTGGTGACCAAGGTGGAATGGTTGCTACAGACTGAAGGGGGCTCAGTGGGAAGACTTAGGACCATAGATGGACTGTAGATGGTCATGTGTTAGTCGACTCCCTAATATTAATGTGCATGGATTTCTCTAAATTTCACAGTGAAAATCAGGTCTTTAAAGGAGAAAGACAGCCCTGTTTATTCAGAGGGAGAAATAAAGTATAAATTAAAGAGGAGATTCCTACAACTCCTTTTTCTTCATTTCGATCCTCAAGTGTCATAAGTGTATCTCAGGAAAAAGTAAAAAAAAAATAAACAGAAAAATGTTGGACATTGCATGATTCCAGGAGTCTCCACTAGAGGTCTCTGTTTCCTCAGTATTAGTATCAGTCTGAATGTGTCTGTTACTTACAGTCATCAGCTGATCACACCTGTTATTTCTGCTGGGTTCTCTAGCTGGGTTCTTTATGAAGTCAGCACTGCTCTGTTGTCTCTTCCTCTCTATTACTTATAACACCTGATTCTGGCTTATTTTTATGTACTATTATTTTAGTTTGTTTTCCTTTCTTTCTTTGTTTTGCTGTTTTGCTCTCTGAATAAAACTCTTGTAAAAACGCTTGTATCCAACCCTGCTTCCTCATTAAGCCCTAATGTTACACATACAGGGAAGACTGAAGCTGGTTGTCACATGTTTCACTCTTTTTAAAATTTTTCCCCATACTTAAAAATTCCATATTAAGCACTCCAATTATACAATAAATAGGGGAAGGGCCCGGCGGAGAGCCGCCGTCGCACGTACTCGAGCGCAGGAGACACTCTGGAGATGGAGAAGATGTACGAGTTGTTGTGAGGCAGCAGCAACAGTCCATAAATATCAATGTTCATTCCATATATATCAAAGTTTATTCCATATATATCAATGTTCATTCAATATATAGCAATGTTCATTCAATACAAGGTACAAGGCTTCAACACACACAACCCCAAAAGTCCCTTTCAGTCTGAACAAAACATTTTATGAATTAAATTATTGATTTTTTTTTATCTCAATGTTGGATCCATGTATATCAAGGTTCATTCCATATATATCAAAGTTCATTCCATATATATCAATGTTCATTCAATATATATCAAAGTTCATTCCATATATATCAATGTTCATTCAATATATATCAATGTTAATTCCATATATCAGTGTTCATGCAATATATATCAATGTTCATGCAATATATATCAATGTTCATTCAATATATGTCAAAGTTCATTCCATATATATCAATGTTCATTCAATATATATCAATGTTAATTCCATATATCAATGTTCATGCAATATATATCAATGTTCATTCCATATATATCAAGGTTCATTCCATATATGTCAATGTTCATGCAATATATATCATTATTCATTCAATATATCTCAGTAGAACAAAGATTGATATATATACAATGAACATTGATATATATAGAATGAATTTTGATATATATGGATTGAACATTGATATATATGGAATGAAAGTCGCTGTTGAAGGGTTGAGGATGGCCAAGAAAAACTGTGCATCAATAAATGGGCATTAACAAACTCCAGGTGGAGCTTAAAGGAAGGGAATTCTGATAAAGTGACCAGTATATATACACATTGATCCCTTGGAC